ACACACACACACATACACACACATTAAATAGATTTTATAACATATACCCCATCGGGCGTACAAATGTGCCACCAGGTAAACCCAAAACAAATAAGGTATAAACATCACAAAACTGTCGCCAAAACAGAAACGCACAGACAAACAAACAAACAAAGAACCAAATACCAAACCCCAACAACAACAACCCAACAACAACAACCGAGCACAAAGCTAAAAAAACCCCGACGTAAACCAACAGTAACCAAACAAAAGCACCCCCCCCCCTCACAAGAAACAACATTACAAAACAAAATCAGACAGAAACACACTATCACATACAAAAACAAACATACGTACAAGCAACCAAACAAAACAAAACACAAGAGACCCAAAATAGCAAAACATCGCAACACTCTTGACTTAATTAAGTTCTGCTATTGGGCAACTCACTGATGACTGTGTTGTTGTGTGTATTGTCACCTGTCTCTGCAACCACTTCTGCGACAGAGAATATGCTGGTCTCTACGTCTTCTATGAAGTTTTGCAGCTACAGAATACGAAAGAATGGCAAAGAGAACAAGTCAATGAAAAAATCGCAGATGTTGAACAGAATGGTTAGGTTGAACGGTTTTAAATATTGTTCGGTTGTTCAATCATATCCCTACGCCCAAGGGTCACTTTGTAACTTGGGGTTGTATTCTTCACATTTTAGAAAACTTTTAGTGCGAAGATCTCTTCGAAACTTTCAGTATTTCTTTAAAAAAATCATTTTGCCATGCAAAGCGTACAGATCGGATTAACGAGTAAATTTCCTCATTGGAAAGTGGTGGCAAAGAATTCCCCACGTCGTATGGATACGATAGTAAAGCTCGATGTAGAATAGGGTTAACATTCCTGATCTCAGAATTTTAGGTTTAGTGAGGTGTTTGTGGCTTAACAGTTAGATGCTACATAAGAAGTGAGTTTTGTTCCTGCATAGGGAATTTTCTTTCTAAAACCGAGTATCTCAATCTGTTTGCAGAGACGCCCTCTCTCTCGGAGCCCGGGTTATCATCTGTTCACGGGTATGGTCGAAGCAGTCCGCTACTTAAATTATCTAAATTGTGTCGATGGGGAATTAAAACAGCAACGAATAATTAACGACCTTGAAGTTGATCTGCGTTGGGACTAAGATGTTTTAAAATATGGTCTTTATCGTCTTGACATACCATCTTACAGCAGTAAGCATGATACAGTTTTGCCTAGAAATAGATAAAGTAGACTGCTGATAATAGGATCTTGTGCAGTTGAGGGCTCCGTTAAACTTTTGCCAAATTAAAGACTGCTCAAGTGCTACTTCGCTCTCTTCAAATCTTGCCTCCCTGGACGTGCTTCAACCCAAAGGAGAGACATCGTCAAAACGTTTGGATTTTGAATCGAGGAAGGAGTTTAAGGTCGTGTCGTACTATTAAAGAGGTGTGGTAGGGATAATTATTTGAAGTCTGCGAGAAAAGAAACACACACACACACACACACACATACACACACACACACACGCACACACACACGCACTCTCTCTCTCTCACACACACACACACACACACGCACTCTCTCTCTCTCTCTCTCTCTCTCTCTCTCTCTCTCACACAC